TGGAAAGGATTTCCTGGTGATTAAGTAACAGAAGGGTGTCCAGATGGCAGTCTGACTTGGGAGCTTGTGTTAATGTGGTAGGTGCATTATGGATGGAAGAGCCTGAGGATCTTGGAGAAGCTGGCCTTGGGACAAGTGTCTTGCTTTGGAATTTCAGAATGAGGGAGACCTGGAAGGGCTTAGGCATCCAGGGCAGGTGTGTGTGTGTGGGGGGAGAACAAAGGAGCACGGAGAGGGTCTTCTGATGAGGTCAACTTCCTGCTTGATAAAAGTGTTCCGTGGGCACAAGCCAGACACTTCCAAATGCATGCTTCTAAGTGGGGGAATCCAATAGAAAAATTAAAAACTCGTGGACAGAGGGGGCATCAATCAGTAATGGTGGGCAAAGTGTGGAGAGGGGAGGAGCTAAGGAAAGGAGGAAATTCCAGAGACCATAAAAGACCATAAAAAGAACAGGCCAAAACTTCCCCACCGGATTTCCAGCTCTGGGGTCCCTTCTGTTCCAAGAAGTCTATCTTTGTATCTCTTTCACTTTTGCAGTCAACCCACTCTTGCTTGCTATTTCTGTATCCTGTTCTTCAATTTGCTGAACGAGGCAACGAACCCAGCACCTCTAGATGGTAATAGGGGCCTAAGGCCTCCTTGCTAGTCTCTCAGTCACTTAGTGCGTAGTATCAGGCTGTGCTTTAGGCTCTGCGGCTACAGAGGCCAACTGGACAGCCTAAGTCTCCGCTTTGGTACCCTATTTTTCTACCATTGTGTCCCACAGGGCTGTGGGGATTAGGCTTACTTATTGCCCAAGGATTGTTGAAGATGTGTCTCTGCTCTTTCTGAACATGATTAGACTCTTCTACTCCAAATGGGAGAGGACTTTCTGGCTGCCTGCTTACGTGGGCAGGGACTGTGTTGTAGACAGCGCTGGGTCACACTGTGATTGGCACTGTGCTCACCTTTTTTATTTGCAATATCTTGTTCTCAATACAGTCTGTGAACATAGTAGGCACTGCTATATCCATTTTTTTTTTTAGACAAAGACATTTAAGTCCTCAAACGTAACATAACTTGCCCAAGGTGCTTGGTTTTAGGAAGTTTTAAACTACACTATACAGAGCATTGTGAGCCTCCTGAAAAAACACACCAGGAATCACCCATGAAATAGTTTTTCTTATAAAAAAGTGAAGCTGAATCCATCAAGCCTCTAGATTCAATACAAGAAATACACTTAAAAGGGGAATACAGCCGGGCACACCGGGCTGAGTTAGGAGGACTGCGAGTTCAAAGCCAGCCTCAGCAACAGCCAGGCACCAAGCAACTCAGTGAGACCCTGTCTCTAAATAAAATAAAAAATAGGGCTGGGGATGTGGCTCAGGAGTTGAGTGCCCCTGAGTGCAATCCCTGGTACCAAAAATAAATAAATAAATAAAGGGAGAACATATTAAATGATGTGGGTAGGATGCGCTAGCAAAATTCAAGCTGTGGAAAACTCTACAAGGCAAACAACCATTGTCTTCAACAAATAAATTACAAAGGGGAAGAAAAAAAGAGAGTATAATATGAAGAACCCCAATTAAGAGATATAAGAGAAATGCCAACTTCTTTTTATTTTTTTTTTAGTTGTAGATAGACACAATATCTTTATTTTTATGTGGTGCTGAGGATCAAACTTAGGGCCTCGCTCATGCTAGGCGAGCACTCTATCGCTGAGCCACAACCCCAGCCCCAAGAAATGCCAATTTCAATGTGTGGACTATTACAATTTTAAAAGTAGGACAGTTTGTGAAGACACTGGAAATTCAAACATCAACTGCATACAGACTTTTAAAATTTTTGTTTTAGTTGTCAATGGACCTTTATTTATTTATATGCAGTGCTGAGAATCAAACCCAGTACCTCACACATGCTGGGCAAGCGCTCTACCACTGAGCCACAACCCCAGCCCTTGGATACAGACTTTTGATGAAATATATTTTTAAATGAGATACATAGGAAAATATTTGTGGATAAAATCAGATAGTGTAGGGATTTGTTTCAAAGTATGATGGAGCAGAGTAAGGGTGATGGATAGGGTTGACCACAATAATTGTTGAAGGTGGGTGTTAGGTACGTGGAGGTTCATCATCTTGTCTGCTTTTGTATATGTCTGAGCATATCCATATAAAATGATAATACAAACTTGGGTGATTCTACAAACTCAAAATAGAGTCCAAACTCTTAGCAAGACATAGAAAGTCATGCATAATCTAGCCCCAATCTGCCTTTCTTGGCCTTATTCACCTTATGACCTAGACACATAGGTGCATGTTTATTTCTCCCTGAACAAGACCCATACTTTCATACCTTTTTACCTTTGCACATATTGACTTTTTTTCCCTCCCTCATTATCTTCTGAATGAAGTTCAGATCAGATGTCATCCAAGCAGCACCTGCTTCTTTCTCCCAGACAGTGATTCCCCCCATTGGTTTAATATTCTATTCTTTCCAGTCATACAGCAGTGACTTGGACCACCGTACCATACATGGTATAGTATAGGCGCTTAGAACAAGCAGGGCTCTATTAGAGTGAATTCCTGTACTAAGGATAGAGATGTTGAGCAACTTGAGGGCAAGTCCAACACCCTTCCTATTTATTATTGCAGCAAGGACAATGCCTGGCACATATTAATTATTTTCCTCAGGCATAAATACTCAAAGATGTTGTATATTGGCAGGTTCTTACATAATACAGATAACTTGAAAATATACTTGGCAAAGTCTTTGTTTTTAGTGCTCAAACTATTCAAAGGATTAAATCTCCTAGTGGATCATTTATTCTACTTTAATTCAATTTCAGGATCTCATATCCTAATACTAAAATCAGTGCTGTCAAAGTTATTAAAATCTGTACTGTTATGGTCCACATTTAGGTTCCAGTGTTTCAAGTGAAAAGTACAAAGCTTGGGTACATGATGTTAGAGGGTGGCTTTTGGTTTCCTAATGAAACCATAAGCCAGGGTATGAGGGCAGAGGCTATGGAGTCAAGCCAACCCAGTCTAAATTCTCACGCTTTATTTAGTAGGTAAAAGGCATTGGTGAAATTACATAACTTCCTAAATCTCAATTTTCCCATCAGTAGGTGGAGTGACAATGACCTCAGAACTTTCTTAAGAAGCACAAATGAGATACTGAACATACTTAACCTGACATTTAAAAGGGCTCAATAAATTTCACATGCAATTACTTGTTGAATGAGCATAAACTCTACTTTATGCTGTTGTTGGTGATTTAATATTGATTTACCACGCTGTATAGTGGCTAGCATATGATAAAAACTGATGGCAAGCGTATTTTAAAACTACGCCCCCTGAACAGTTACTTTTCCTATCTTCCCTTCAAATAAATCCTTGAACTTTTAAGATTTCTATTATACGGTTTCAGACTTTTGTCTCAAGTTGGTAATCATAGCCTTATGTTTCTGCATAGTCACAATTATTGGGTATACTATGTCACCTCTTTGGTCCTTGATTTCTCTATAAAAAGAATGGTACTATGTAATCTCTCCTAAACTTAATTCTATTTATTTCTCATCATCTTTTACAGCATGCTGATAGAAACATGAACTGCTGGACTTAGATTTCAATTCTACAGTGAAACCATTATTGTATCAACCAACGGTTTCAAGATCTGAAAGATGTCTTGAGGGTGGGGTCTGTGTGTACACCCTCACATCTAGCACATTGTCTTACACTCCTCAAAGCCCCCATATGTATTTGATGAATTAAATGCAATGTTTAAACTAACAGAGACAGAGCTTCCTGAAAACCCACAATACTTTCAAGCCTCAAACATTTCATAAAAGGAATTATCAAGAAAACACAAACTACTGTAATCAAATCAAAATATTCCAAACAGGAATTTAACAAGTAATACATAGTAAATCAAAAGTTCTTATTCACCCTCTCCTGGCTAATTGTTGGAGTAACACTGAATTAAAGCATATAAAATAAAGCAACATTAAAATTGAAAAAAAAAAAACCCACTAATTCCAACTGAAGGTTTCACGAATTTTTTTTTTTTTTTTTTTGGTCCCAGGGATTGAATGCAGGGGCACTTAATCACTGAGCCACACCCGGAGCCCCTTTTCTTTAATATTTTATTTAGAGACAGGGTCTTGCTGAGTTGCTTAGTGCCTTGCTTTTTTTTTGAGGCTGGCTTTGAACTCTGATTCTCCTGCCTCAACTTCCTGAGCACTGGGATATGATTGACTTTTTATTTGAGAGAGTCTGTGGAGAGTCAGTGGAAAAAAAAACCCAAGAAAAGAAAAGTGATGGCATGGGTTGTTGCTAAGATCCCTTTCCATCATTGTAAAATGATTTTCCAACAAAACTTCCAACCAAGTTTTAAGGCTGCCTATAGCTCTAGTTTACTGTTAGTAGTCTAAAGAATCAAACTAAATAAAAAGTTTTAAAAAGAGCATCGCAAGGCATCAATTTTAATCATTTTAAAATTCAAGTATTAATCACTGCTAATACTTTTTCATTTCTAAGAAACCTAGATCCCTTGAGCTTCAGCCTTTCTCTATAAATTAGGTGAAAGGAAGGTAGGCAAGAGACAGGTCTCCCAAGTACTTATAACACCATGTATATACAAAAGTGTCCACAGTAAGATCAACCTGTCAGAGCTTATGCACAAAGCAAGACATAGAGGAACGCCATCTAGATTTCCTTACGCTTGTTATTGTTTTCTACCTGTTGATGATTAACGAGGATAAGTTCATTTAAAAAAATCTGCCCATGGTCATGAAGAGTACAGACATAAGCCAAATATTTGGATTAAGAATTAATTCAGGATTACAGGATTAATCCACTTCATCTGGATGGAGTTCAGCTGACCAGAACAGGAAAGGTTCTCACAGCAGTTCTTGAGAGTTTGTTTCTTACTTTAGAGAACAGGCAAGGCTTGTAAAATATTTACACATCGGGGTGTCACCTGATTAACAAGGAAAAAAATGAACCACTGCTTTGTGGGTGTGTAAAATATCAACTGACATTTATTTTTGTTTCAGATCTTAAAACCGATTGTGTACTGAGAGATGTGCTAGAGGAAGATGTGGCATGAAAAGAAAAATATTAATAGAAAATACCAGAAAACATCTCAAGCACTGACATGTAGGAGGAAGAGGGAACCTGCCTCTCCTACCTCTTCCCACAGTTCCCAGGTGGGATCTGGTGCCCCAGAAGTGGGCGGCCACCCCCAGAGGGAGGTGGTCCTGTGTACATGCTCTGTGGCCTGTGGAGGGCGGGGCTGCCATGTGACAGCCAGGGCCCACTCACAAATCACACACTTGTCCTAGTTCTTCTCATACAACCGCCCATAAAGAGCTGCTGTCACCAGACCAGAGGACAGTCCACGCTTCCTCAGGAAATAGTGGTCATTCTCCCAGCCAAGCTGGTCAGGGGATTCCAGGGTCATCCCTGAGGTCAGAAAGAGAGGAAAGATATAGGAAGTGCTGAAGTTGCCCCACAGGTGAAACTCGAATATCCCCGTGGCCTCTGTGATCTCCTGCCCACAGGTGTGGATGTCAAGACCCCCACACTTGACCAGGGCGCACACTTGGATGTAGTAAGTGCCGTGCACAGTGTGGAAGCCATCAAAGACCCCCAGGGCATAGAGCTCTTGGGACAGGGTGGGCCTGTCATACAGCAAATGGCAGCAGAGGCTGTTGGAGCAGACTTGGAGATAGCCTTCCTTTCCCCAGACGGGGACCAGGGTAAAGTTGTCATACATCATCTCAGAATGAAAGGTGGGAGGAGCATCCATGTTCCACTTGGCGGCTTCGCAGTGGACTTCCTGAGCATCCTTTTCACAGTATGGCTCACCTGACACGATTTTTAAAAACCTACTGTGGGAAGGGTCTGTTTTACCTGTTGCGTTTTCCGTACCAGCAAGACCCAGTGGATTTTTGGCTACCTGGGCAATGATAAGGTGACCTTTGGGGCTTTCCATGTCATGGTACCAGAAGGACTTCAGAGGGGTGTGTATGCCACTCCCTGTCATCCCCAGAGATGGGTGGTGGATGTTGGCCGCCAGGACGTTGACACCAAAGGCAATGGCAAAGGCTTTCTGAATCTCGATGGCCGCCAGGAGCGGGAGCTGGTTCATCCAGGCGCTCGGGTACACCACGTGCTTCACCTCGGGGTCTCTCAGCAGTCTGATGGCAGGGTCGAAGAACAGTATGTCAAAGCAGGTGAAGATGCCAAACCTGCCAGCAAAGGGGGTATCGAAAGTGACGTGATCCACTTCAAGAGGGGTATCAAAAGCTGCCTCGAAGTAGAGGTTGTGTTTTCGGTAGCGGTCAACAAGGGTTCCATTATTGCTGAAAATGACATTTGTGTTAAACTGGTATCTCCCATCATTTGGGCACCCTGGGTCATTGCTATGACATGGCTGTTTTGTCCCAAGGTTGGCCACTAAGAACATCTCTCCCTTGGTGGCCATGCAACTCAGGCGCTGGAGGACCTGGGGGAGGGGGGAGAAAAAGGGCTTAAATACGTGGATTTTAAATATCCTGCCTTTTGTCTCATATTTTTAATAGAAAAATTCCTCGTATTCACAATATACAGAGAGCTCTCATAATAAGAAAAAAAATCACCACTGAAAACATGCAAAGGAGATGAACAGATGATTCAGGAAGAACAAAACAAATGGCCAAGAAATATCTGAAAAGAAGCTGAACCACATGAGTTACAGGGAAATGCAAATTAAAACAACAATGAGACATTATTTTTCACCTTCATTAGATTGTCAAAAATTCTAAAGGTTATTCTATCTTGCATTAATCAAAGGGTAAAGAAATAGGCCTTAATGATTATTATTGGGGATAGAAAGTGAAATTAAAAATCTCTTGAGGAAGAAGTTTGGTACTCTTTAAAATAATGTAAAATGTGCACAGCCTTTGAGAAATCCCATTTCCAAGAATTTCACCTTACAGAAGCACTTAACATGTTTCTGAAAATATATGTACAAGGATATTCATTGAATGTTGCTCTTGATATCAAGAGTTTAAAGAAAATAATAAGCATACCATGCTAAAAAAGGATGTCAACAAATATAAAATGCATAGAAAAGGGTATAGTTGGATAAGCAGCAAATGGATATGTTTCTCTAGGAAAGGAAGTAGGATGAGAATGGGCTGTGGTGAAGGTGAACTTTTACTTTGTTTTTCTTTCTTTAACTTCTGTTTGGCATGTTTAAGTTTATATTCATGTATTTCTTGTGTAATTAATAAATTAAATATCCATAGAGCAAATGCTTTACAATAGTAGAGTTTCTTTTTTCCTTTGCAGTACTAGGTGGTAGGTCGGCAGGTTTCCCTGACCCCTCCCCTTTCTTGGCGGCTGCGGGGCGGGACTTTCCACCTGGCTGACCCGAAATGGCCAATCAGAAGCTGACATGGCAACGGACCCCAACCAACACGGTTCTCGCAGGCAGAAGCAATTGCCCTGTCAACCCAACCAGCCCTGACCAACCTGCGACCAACAAGATCCCCCTAAACTCGGCCGGCCAACCTGCTGTCGTAGCTGCAGTTTAGATGGCCTGGGCCCTCCCCCTCCAGTTCCCTTATTAGCACTGTTCTTGCCTTTCCCGCCTGCGGCTTCCCCGGCCCTCACCCTTTCCTACACTGGTGAACCTGGCCTGGGAGTGTCCCCCAATAAACCTTCTTTTGGTGCCTCATTCTGGTTCCATGGTTCCTGATCTCGCCGGCCCCTTTCTGCTTTACACTAGGGATTTAACCCAGGGCGCTTGACCACCAAGCCACACCCTCAGCCCTTTATATTTATTTAGAGACAGCGACTCCTTATGTTGCCAGGGCTGGCTTCGAGAACTTGCAGTCCCCCAGCCTCAGTCTCCCAAGTTGCTAGGATTACAGACAAGTGCCACCACACCCAGCTCTAGACAGTCTTTAACTGAATGTATAGCACATGGAGTTTGGTTTTGGTTTTGGGGGTCCTTGGGTCTCCTTTATATCTCAGCATGCTGTGGCTTTCAGGCACTCACTTGGTTCACCTTGGCATGCCCTCTGTTATGGGCCAGGCTATATGGGCAATGACCAAACAGACTCCATTTTACCCGGAGACTCTATATCACTTAAGAAATACTTCTCCCATGGGAAAGCCCTGCCTCTGTACCCATTAATAGTTGCCTAACATAGCATACTTGGCAACATACAAAATAGCAATTCTTATACAACAGAAAATTGTTCTCTTTGGTTTCCATTTTTCTTGGGCAATGTACCTTGTCAGAGATTGATTGTCTAGACTTTAGTAACCATTCTCTAACTTGTACTGAACTAGGGTCATTTTGACTCACTTCCCTTCTGCTTGCTTGCTGCTATGCCAACCTGGAAAGTCCCATGGGAAAAAACAATGTGCCCATGGCATTGTCTCGCTAACTGCCCAATTCACCTTCTGTACCTGCTTGCTTGCAGCTATGTCAACCCAGATGTGTTTTTTGCCTTTAAGTATCCTAAAATGCTCAGGCTCAGGGCTGTTCCTTGCAGAGACAGTTATGGGTCTTGTGGGAAGCAGTCGCTGGCTGGCCAGCTAAATAAAGACTCTTCAATTTGGACAAAATTGGGACTTGGTGTGTTTTCTGAGCGACCTGCCCCACAACACCCTTGGCCTGGTGAAGAGGAAGACTAAGGCCCTCAAGTACCTCTGTGTCATTGAAACGGTGGGGCTCCAGGCACGGGTTCCATTTGACCAGCTGGGGAGATGGCATGAAGTCCAAAAATGGGTAAATGGACGTTCTTGTGAAGTTGAAGCCGTGGATGCCATCTTCTGGAAACACTATGATCTGCACGCCCTGCAAGTCAGAACAGCACAGTGTAGTCTGGTATCGGACATCGAGAAGCACCACTCCATTCACTAGCTCACACCCTGGGCAACCACCAGGGTGTTAACTATACCAGAGCCAGAGATACAGAGCTGGTGGCTGGACTCTCATCACGGATCCTAGTGTTGGGGATACTGGCTTGCTTAGTCCAACCCTAAAGGCACAAAGACAAAGTCCTCCAGGAACAAGCATCACTTGTGCCTGGAGTGTGTCAGGGAAGGAGGGCGAGTAAGCTGCTGAAGGAGCAGGAATTTACCAGGCAGGCTACTAGAAGGGGTGTGGAGTTCTCGGTGGTGAAATTGGAGCTGGAGCTGATTACAAAGGGCCTCAAACTTTGGACCCATTAACAGATGAGGTGTTTCTCTACTCCAGTAGTTCTCAACTTCATTCTGTTCTAAATCAGTTGGGGACTTTTTTTTTTTTTTAAACTAGGGATTGAACTCCAGGTGTGTGTGGGGGGGTGCTTAACCACTGAGCCACATCCCCAACCCTTTTCATCTTTTATTTTGAGACAGCATCTTGTTAAGTTACCTTGGGCCTCAATAAGTTGCTGAGGCTGGCTTTGAATTTGTGATCCTTCTGCCTCAGCCTCCTGAGTGGTGGAATTACAGACATGTATCACCACACTTGGCTAAATTTTAAGTTCTTAGCACACATTGTCTAATAGCTTTCCAGAAAGGTCATATCAATGCATAGCACCCTGTGAGGCTGACCCATTCTGAGTAGTGACTATGTAAATAAAAAATCATCACAAACTTGGAGTAAGGTAAGAAAAAGAATCCGTATATTTCCAAATTATATTGGGGTATTGATCAACAGGCTCACTCAAGGATTATTTAATTATCTAGAGAATGTGTCACTGTTTGTACTTAAAAGCTCACCTCAACTGTGTTATCCTATAGGACCTTTAAAGTCAGCTATGTATCTATTAGCAAATTCATTTCACTATTCCCTGAGCTGCTGATAGACACATTTCCATTCTTCAAATTCTCCTTTGAATCAGTTTTACCATGTTACTGGTTCCTTCATTAGTTAATGCATTTAAATAAAAATTTTGTTCAATCATATTTGTATAAGAGTTATGCTTTTAACTTTTTAAAATTTACACATGGACAAATATTTTCCTTTATTCAAATCAAAACTGAGAGCACTGGATAGTTCCTTATGGATTTATGTATACATATTAGATTAAGATGAACATTAAATTGCATTTCCTGAGTACATAGCAGCCAGGAATGAGGCTGGGAACCAAGCATGAGCTGGGCAGAACTTTGGGTCTGATGTCAGCACTCCCGATGAGCACCACCAGCCATTTTCTGATAGACTTTGCTGAGATCAAGAATTCCCTCTAGGGGCTGGGTTGTGGCTCAGTGGTAGAGTGCTCGCCTAGCATTCACAAGGCACTGGGTTTAATCCTCAGCACCACCTAAAGCTAAAAAATAAATACTAAAAAAAAAAAAAAAAAAAGAATTCCCTCTAAGGAACAAAGGTCACCAACCAAGTGCCTGACCACACTAATTAGCTGTAAACTCCTCCCTCCACCCCTACCCCAGTGCCTCCGACAAGAGAGCAACACTTCAGTTGGTTTGTTTAGGAACCTGTGCCCTTAAAGCAAATCTGATGGACAACTCTGACACATGCTCCCCATCAGTTTGTCTAAGCAGCTGCTTTAACACACGCAGCGATGTAGGGCAGCTAAGCAACCAGTGAGCACCAAAGGGATCCTCTGATCAGCTCCATCCCCGCTCCTGGACCACTAATAATGGAATGGTATCTTGCAGCCTGTGCAGGCTCCTCAAAACCATGGCACCGGTTTCCATTAAAACTGGAAAGCTGGGGAATCCTAGTCACAGTCTCTGGGTTTTAGTGCGGCATCTGCTGAATGTCCCAGGATGGTCTTGGGAACAGGATAGAGAAGCAAGAGAGGGTGAAACTGAGGTCTGGACTCACCGCAGGCAGCAAACACCTCCACCCAAGGATTGCTGCCCTTGACTGGATCGGGGGCAGCAGGTCGTCTGTGGGCATAGCTGGGATTTTTTTTTTTTTTTACACTGACTTTAGCAGAGACACAAATGAGGTTATGTACCAAAAGTGTGAATGATATGCAGGAAATTGATATGTGGGAGGTCCAGTAAAGATCCCTAAATCATCTTTTGGACTGGAATGATGACATTTAATGACATTAGTGTAAAGGCTTGCTCTTGTGCTCAATCAGCTTCCTAATGGCAGGTAATGGCAGCACATGTGTCTGTGTGAGAGAAGGGCACAGGAGTTTTAGTTGACAGCAAGAGCTCTGTGAATCCACAGAGAGAAGTCACTGCCAAGTTTGCAGGGGACAAGGTCTGGAATGAGGGAGGTGAGAGTGGCCTGCAGCCTGCGCCATCAGCTAGCACCTGGAGAGCAGTACACAGCTGTGAGCACAGGGCTGGAGATGGAAGCCCCCAAGGAACTGGGATGGGACTGGAGATTAACAGCCTTGGGATGACATGCAGGGGGCCGGGGCAGTCAGCCTCAAGTGTGAAGAAGATGGCACTGTGTACGGGACTTGGGCTCTGCTCTTTAGCTCCAGGACAGAACTGCTCACTGAAAGAAAGGCCTATCCAGAAGTTCCCACCACTGGACGAGTGGACCTAGGAACAGTGAGTTCTGGGCCCCTGAAGGTGTTCAAGGAGAAACTAGAGTCAGCTGGGACAAAGAGCAGTGCGTCACCCATCAGAAGCTCCCTTCCAACATCAGTTTCAGATATGTACACGTATATATGTCTCTGTGTATTCTAAGTATATGTACTCTAGGCTAGAATTTTTTTTTTTTTAAACAAGCACTCTACTGACTAAGCTATATTCTCAGCCCTGATCTGTAATCTTTTTTTTTGTTTTAATATTTTATTTACATTTTATTGTTCGGCAGACACAACATCTTTGTTTGTATGTGGTGCTGAGGATTGAACCCGGGCCGCACCCATGCCAGGCAAGTGCGCTACCGCTTGAGCCACATCCCCAGTCCCTAGGCTAGAATTTTTAAATGAAGCGACAGATGTCTTTCCAGGTCATCCTGACCTGCTTAAAGAGAGGGGACCTGCAGGGCAAGACCTCTTAGCAGGACCGGGTCTGCCCTTTATAAACCCATGACAACAGAGAAGTTTTTACACCCATGGAATTTACTTCACCTTAAACTTCCCTGGAGGCAGAGCAGGGCCTTCTGAAGCAGCAGGGCTTGGTCCAGGGTTAAAGCCCAATCTCTTCTGGTTATGGGTTTCCCAGAAGGGAATTGCTCACTTCTGACACTGACATTCCCCTCTGCCCTATGGGGCACCTCTCCTCCATCCTCAGGCTTCCTGGCAGGAGGGGAATGAGGCCAAGCAGGAAGCCTTTACAAAGGCTGACACTGACCTGCCCTTTGTCTTGGAGTGAGCTCTGACTGGGCGAAGGTCTCAAACTGTTTAGTCTGGCATAAGAGATGAAGTGAGCCCCAAATAATCTGTAGGCAGCAAAAATGGCAGTTCTTTGGACAGTGACTCTTTCAGGTGAGCTGTGAATGCCTCACAAATTGTGGTGCTCATCATGCTCAGTGGTTTTCAATTTTTTTTCTGCACATTAGAATCCCCTGGGGAGATTGTTTAAAAAAATTCCAGTGCCCAGATCACACTCCATCTGGACCATCTGGACAATGGATTCCTAGGGATCCAGGAACCTCTAGTGTTTATAATTGGCCCAGTGATTCCTGCCCACGGCCACATGGAGAACCTGTGACTGAACCCAGGGCTTCTCAAACTTGAAGGGCCTCATCGTCTGATGATCTTGCTAAAATGCAGATTCTGATTTGGTGGGGCCTAAAATTCTGCATTTCTAACAAGTTCTCAAGTGCTGCTGATGCTACTGGACCACGGACCACTCTCCGAGTAGCAAGACTCTAGCCACCTAAGTCAAATCAGGCTTACTTGCTGGACTGACTTTCACAGAGGTTGTAGGAAGCCTAGGGTCACCCAACCACTGCTTGAGGGTCAAAGCACCCTTTGTTCTGTTCTATGAGAGGAGCCCAGGTCATAACCGAGGAGCGTTTCTTGCCTTCTGGGCTGCAATCATCACTTGCCGTTCGTAGATATCGAGGTTCTGGTTCATGAGCTCCAAGGCCTGCTGGCGGGTGGTGAGAGCTAGAGGGTTGGGACTCAGGATCGAGTGGTGCTCATACACGGCCGCCATGTAATATTGAGACCCCTGATGGTCAGCCACGCAGTACTCCCCGGCCTGGACTCCCAGGGCAGCGACATAACAGATGAAGAGGAAAAGAGCAGGCTTCCTGCTGGCTCCAGACATGATACAGGCCGTAAATCTGGAATGTAATGGGGCAAGGGAAAAAACAGATGAGTAAGGAATCCGCCAAGATTCCAACATTTGTTGAACATGTTTCTTTCCAAACACGAAGCAAGCTATGTTTAAAATGGCTCACTGTGTTAATAATCGTCTCTTTTTAGAATATTTCCACAACAGACTCGATGTTCGCCATGATTTTCTTACCCAGTATCAGCAAGGCTGTAAGGCATCACTATTCACTTTCCTGGCTGTCACTTAAATTTTAGGCAACAGTAATTATTCTGTTTATCAGATATAATTTCATGATATATTTTACACTCCTCCTGCTCTCTGTGCACACAAACGCACTATAGGTCCAACATCTACATTAGCTGTGTTTGTCATGAGATCCTAACAATACAGCTCTGCTTTCCCTGCCTTAGAGTAATAATGAATACAATGGAAAACTTTCATGGGAGGAATAGACAAACTCTAGATAGGGCAGAGGAGTGGGAGGGGAAGAAAGGGGGCAGGGTGGTTAGCAAGGATGGTGGAATGTGATTGGTCATCATTATCCAAAGTACATGTATGAAGACATGCATTGGTGTGAATATACTTTATATACAACCAGAGATATGAAAAATTGTGCTATATATGTGTAATAAGAATTGTAATGCATTCTGCTGATATTTATTTTTTAAAAAATCAATTAAAAAAATCACCACATTGTTTGGGGCCAAGAAACTGCAGACTTCCACTTAAATGCCACTTACACTCTCTGTTACAAAAGCAGCCTCCTAATCAAAGCACAGCACTGTTTCCTTCTCGTACTTGAGAAATGCCATCACACATTTCACTTTCTCAACCTTCATCTCTGTGACTCCAAATCTCTTGCTCAAAAGCAATACTCTTTTGGAAATAAAATCCTATTTGCAGTGATAATGTAGAATTTTCTAGAAGATAAAGTGGGCTTTTCTAGAATGTAAACTCCACTTTGTGGTTTCCACCATCAAAGACTAGAAGTGAATGACACATCTGTGTATCCCTCCCTTGAGTCTCCAAGAATAGGAATGGCTACTTCTTTTTTCTTTCACATTTTCCATTAATTTCTATTTAAAATTTTTTTTTAAATATTTATTTTTTAGTAGTAGTTGGACAGAATACCTTTTTATTTTATTTATTTATTTTTATGTGGTGTTGAGGATTGAACCCAGGGCCTTGCATATGCTAGGCGAGCGATCTACTGCTGAGCCACAATCCCAACCCTAATTTCTATTATATTAATGCATATCAATTATACAAAATGGGTTTGTGAAATGTTCATACTTATATATATATAATGTACTCCCTATTATCCTTTTCCCCACCTGCTTCCCTCCTCCTGGTCCCTTTCCTTAATGGTCCTCTTCTACTTTCTTGTCTTTTTTTTCTAGATTCCGCAAATGAGAGGAAACATGATACTTGTCTGAGCCTGGTTTATTTATTTATTTATTTATTTTCATAGTTTTATTTTTTTTATTGGTTGTTCAAAACATTAAAAAACTCTTGACATATCATATTTCATACATTAGATTCAAGTGGGTTATGAACTCCCATTTTTACCCCAAATACAGATTGCAGAATCACATCGGTTATACATCCACATTTTTACATAATGCCATATTAGTAACTGTTGTATTCTACTACCTTTCCTATCCTCTACTATCCCCCGAGTCTGGTTTATTTTTTTTAACATGATGATCTCCTTCTTTATGGCTGGACAATACTCCATTGTGTATGCGTGTGTGTACATATGTGTGTGTACTTGTATGTGTGTGTGTGTGTGTGTGTATACACACACACACACACACACATATATGGCCTTTTCTTTATCCCTCTGTCTCTTGATGGGCATCTGGGCTGATTCTGTACCTGGCTATTGTGTATGGTACCACATAAACATGGGTTTGCAGGTCTCTATTGCATGCTGACTTTTATTGCTATAGCTGGTCATATGGTAGGTTCTATTTTTTTTTTTTTTGATAATAAAACTACTAGTTCATGGCATAAATACATATACAACAGCATGTGACAAAAATACAAAATATATTTCACTTCTGTACAGAAATATCCACTACAGGACTTTTTTAGATTAGATTATAATATTATAAATAAAGTTGCCAGGCGCAGTGATGCATGCCTATAATCATAGTGGCTCTGGAGGCTGAGACAGGAGAATTGCAAATTCAAAGCCAGCCTCAGCAACTTAGCAAGGCCCTAAGCAACTCAGTGAGACCCTGTCTCTAAATAAAATATTAGGAAAAAAAAAAAAGGGCTGGGGATGTGGCTCAGTGCTTAAGTGCCCCTGGGTTCAATCCCTGGTTCCAAAATATAAAACAAACAAACTACCACACACAGGACCAGTGTTCGATAAATGGCAACTACTTTTTTTGGGAGGCAGACAGATAATACTTAGGACTACAGGCTTGGGAGTCACTCAGGTCTGGATGTGAATCTTGAGTGGCTTCTTACTGCCCTAGGAAAGTGGCCTGTTCGCTTAGGACCTCATAAGCCAGGAAATTGGGCTCTGGTGGCTTCAAAAATGCATGATTTTTTACTGAATAATCATGTTTAATTCTCATTTGCTTGTCTACTCTTCTAGTGACTTATTTTTTCCTGTGTGCTTGCGATTGTATTTGTCTTGCTTCTTCTTTTGAGTATAGGATTCCTTTAATTATCTTCCGTGGTGATGGTTTTAGTGGTCATGAATTCCTTCAGTTCATATTTATCTTGGAAGGCCTTTATTTCATCTTAAATTCTGAAAGATAACTTTGCTGAATATAGTAATTAGATTAGCTGTTATTTTATTTCAGGACTTGAGATACATAATGCCATATCCTCCTGGCCTTTAGTTTCTGCTGAGAAATATGCTGTTATTCTGATCTGTTTGACTTTATAGGTGACTTGGCACTTCTATTACAGTTTTAAATACTCTTTGTTCTGTACCTGGGGCAGTTAATACTGTCATGGAGAGGTCCTTTTCTAGTTATTTCTATTGAGGGTTTTGAATGCCTCCTGTACCTGGATATTCATATCTTCTCCAAGGTTTGGGAAATTTTCTGCTATGATTTCACTAAATAGGTTTTCTATTCCTTTAACCTACATGCTGGCTTCTACCTCTAAACCAATTTGTAGGTTTGGTGTCTTAATTGTGGACCATAAGTCTTGAATAGTCTGTTCATAATTTCTTCTTCTTTTTCTTTATTACTGCCTGAATAGGATAATTCATCAACTTTGTCTTCAAGTTCTGGTATTCTTTCTTCTGCTTGATCTAGTCAATTGGTGAGGCTTTCAATGGAGGTTTTTATTGGACTTATTAGGCTTTTCATTTCTGTGATTTCTGTTTGATTCTTTTTTCAGAATCTCTATGGTATTAACTCTTTTGTATTCTGTATTGTTTTTCTTAGTCCATTCAGTTATTTATCTGTATTCCCCTTGAAGTCATTGATCATTTAAAAAATTACTCTTTTGATTTCTTTGTGTAGCATTTCATCTATTTCAGTATCTTTGGATTCAATTAGTGAAGAGTTATGAACATTGGAAGAGTCATGTTGCTTTCCCCTCACATTTCTTGTGTTTCTACGTTGAGATTTGAACATTTGTTGAGATGAATATCTCCTCCACTTTTATATGAGGGTCTTCTTAGTGAGTAGCCTTCTTCTGGGGGCTCCATCTCCAGTACCAGAGAGGAGAAGACAAACTTCACTCACAATGACAACACAAAGATGAACAGATGTAGGAATACAGTAAAAACCACTTAATACCAACAGCTACATCACCAATAACAATAGAAAATGATAAAAGAATATGGAATAAACTAAAAAATTAAAATTTAATGTAGTACTGATAAAATAAATTTTTAAAATAGGGGGCAGGGAAAGGGGACAAAGAAAGATGCAGAATTTTTTAAAAAAGGAAAACAAGAAAGAGCAGGAGAAGAATGTGAAAGATTTTTTTTAAGTCCAATTAAAGAATAAAAGAAACTGGGCATGGTGGTGCATGCCTGTAATCCCAGCAACTTGAGTGGCTGAGGCAGGAGGATTATAAGTTCGAGGCCAGCCTCACCAATATAGTGAGGACCTAAGCAACTTAGTGAGACCCTGTCTCAAAAAAAAAAAATGTAAATAGAATTAAATAAAAGTAAGAAAAGGAAAATAACAAGGAAAGAAAAACAAGTCCACCTTCTTTGCAGGTCCTGAAATACTGGAATTTACCACATATGGGGAACAGGGAGAGTCATAGCTGGGTCTGTTGTGATTCCTCTTTGCTCCCACAAAACTGGTTGGTGTTGTATGTAGGTTGAGCCCTGTCCTGTGTTTTCTGCAGACTGGGCTGGCTAAAGATATGTGGCAAAGTTGTATTCACTCCAGAGGCTTTCTTTATCATATGCTGCTATCCCCAACAGGTGGGCTACAGGTACTGCTTGCTCCAGGGGCTCTCCCGTCTGTGGTACCTGGGGTCATGGTAAATGTCCAAGCCCATGACTTTTCCCTTAAAGCACTGGAGTGGGGGAAATAAACAAACTTTTGAGTTCTGCACTGGAGCAAGGCAGATGAGGGAAGTAAGTAACCTGTTAGCCTTAGTTTTGGTGCCTTCAGACCAATCCCCTCAGTAAACCATGCACCATGGGTCTCACTCCTCACCACCGAGGTCAGTGCCACCGACCACTGTGCTCTTCGCAGTCAGAGCTCCCCGCTGCTTCTCAGTGGGTCTGCAACTGATCCTCCCCTCTCCATGACTGTCTCTTGTGGTCACCTGCCACCCAGTCACTGTGGCTGGGTGTCCCTAGGGACTCTGAATTGTGACTGGTCCATGTTTTCTGACCCCAAAAGTACCTCTTCAAAGTTATGTTGATAATATTTCCAAAGTATAAGTCAATGATTTAAGATGTGTGGAAATTGAGACTGGGGTAGAGGTCAATGAGCCAGTCTCATTAGGAGTTCCTGGGGCTAATAGTGGCACGTATAGGACCTTCTGTTCTCAACAGAGAGCTCTGTACCA